CCATCCTGACCTACATTGTAAAGCTACTGCATTACAACAGCAGGCGCTGCAGGTGAGAAACCACAGACTCAATCAGTCCGGGGCCCAAACATGACTCCTCTGCTGCTCTTCGCCCTAATGCTGCTCGGTGTTCGGGCCATGTCGGACTCTGAGGACCTAAAAACCCGGGAGCGGCTCTTCCTCAGCTCGCTAGGTCTCCCTGCGCGGCCGCAGTCCGCAGGGAGCCACCGGCGGCCCGTCCCCTCCGAGCTCTGGAGGATGTTCCGGCGGTCAGAGAAGGAGAAGGCCCGGGAGGGCGACCCCTGCACGGTGTCTGAGTACGGGGTCCGCGGCAACATCATCCGCTATGTGCAGGACCAAGGTGGGTGACCCCGCAGACAGATAAACCATACTTTATATGAAGCAGTTTTCTCATTCATGCATTTTTATTAAATGCATTTGTTGAGAAATTTTAACCTAAATTTTATTTCACCTGTTTATGAACTCTTGGTTTCAACAACAAACCTGCATGAGTTTTATGAGTTTTATTTTATTTAGAATTTGAAAACTATCTGGAAAAGATCTGATAAATTATATCTTCCTCTCCTAACTTAGTGTTTTGTCAGATCAGCTTATTTTGCAGGTCTTTCCCAGCTTTGAACATGGATTATACCAAAACATTGTTGGATTTGAGGAGAAACTTTTGAAAAATCCGTTTAAAAAAAAAAAAGACAGATTATCAGCTGGATGTAGATCTAGACCATCCAGACACATGAAGATGATTTGATTTTTACACTTTAGGCCCAGCTTTAACCTTAAGGAGCTTTTGCAGCATCCATTTTATGCAGCATCCATCTTCTGAGGATTTCTCTGCACATTCAGCATCTCCATTCATTTTCTAAGCTTTTTTTCCTTCCTCCTGAACACCATGTTTCACCTGGTGCAGAATGCATGCTCCATACAAGCTAGAAATGTCCCCAACCAATGTTATCAGAAATCTGTCCAGTATCAGCAAGGAAAAAAGACTACCGTACTATATCTAAAGAAGCTCATAGAAAATCTTCACTTTCATCTGCTTTTGTTTAAAGTTTATGTAACTCTTTGGTGAATGAGGAATGGGTGATTTCCTCAAACCTGATAGTTTTAGGTAATGTTCTCCTTCAAATATCACTTTATCAAGCCCTTTTTTCATGACATGCTATAAAATAAATATCAGAAGAATGTATGATTAAGGCTGATATTAATAAATATTATCAGGAATAAAAAAAGCTGAATCGGTACACCCCTTAAAAATGCCCAATTTGTCAGCATATTGCCTCCTAAATCAAATACTATATATATATATATATATATATATATATATATATATATATATATATATTTGGTGCCTTTACAAATGTCTTAGTCCTTGATAGAACAGCTGAATGCATACTTAGATGAAGATTTGAGCAAATTAAATCCAATGTTTAGTTTGATCACTTCTGAAGATAACTTGTTTACATATGCATACCAACACACTTAATGTTTTCTAGGGCTGTAATTAAAGATTATTTTGCAAAGCGGTTAATCTGTCGATCATTTTTTCGATTAATCAATTAATAATCGGATAGCCAAAGTTTCCTTAAAGAAGACTTTTAGTGAAATTAAACGAGATGAAACTCAATATTTTCCACTTTTGGAGTTCTGGATAAAGCATATTGACAGAAGGACATTTTTTTTTTTATCTTAAATGCAATATGTTTACGTATTTTTTTTTTACAATTTTGATATAATTCCTGCTCTAAGTGGGTCTCTCTGTCAGCTAAAGGCATGTTTTACAGTCTCTATACTCCAGTTAAGGATCAATCGATTGCTAAATTAGTTGATGATTATTTTAATAATTGATTAGTCTTGATTAATCTGGTTCATCGTTTCAGCACTAATGTTTATGTAAAAACCTTGAATAATTCTGTTTTGTTTCAGTTATTTGCTGCATTACCTGCAATAATGCAAAATGTAGACAAAAGCCTTATTGATCTAAAAGCAAATTTCTACATTTAGTGATCACAATTTTAAAAAAATGCACATAGGATTTGGAGGAAAAGTTGTCTGGTGAGCTTGGTGTTCTCTTTGTTCATAGAATATTAGGCTCTGGGAGTGGAATAATGACCAGGATTTACATGCAGGTTCTGGAGGAGATGCAGTGTTATTTATTGATCACAGTATTGTTCAGTAATGAGGCAGAGAAAACCAGACGCATCAGATTCATTTAGAAGAGAAGAGGCTCGGGTAAAGTCTTTTCTTCAAAGGCCCTTTTCTTTGAATAACGCAGGAAAGCTGCTTCAGCAAAAATCGACACTGCTACTTAAATTACAGAGTCCAGGCACACTTTGTTCCATGGAGAAATAAAGGGCTGTGAAATTTCATTTGTCATTTATGTTGTCATGAACTTGATTTTTTTTTTTTTAACCTCAGCAGACCTTGTTTTAACGCTCTTCTCCCTGCTGGTGTTTTGCAGGCAGGCTGGTTTCGGGTTGGAGCATCAGCTGTCAGGCTTGTCTGGAGAAGCAGCTTTTCTTCAACATGTCTGTCCTGCAGCCTGTGGAGCTGCTGTCTCTGGCTCAGCTGGAGATCAAGCTCCACATGAAGCCTCTGAGGCCCACGGAGCACCTCCAGGGGCCCCGAGTCGTCAGCATGTCACTTTATAAGGTGATCCGAGCCACGCTGAGGGGAGCCAATCCTCAGGCTAACCGCAGACTCCTGCTGTCGCAGTCAGTCCAGCTGCAGCTGGAGCCAACCATCATCACCATGGACCTGACGCCGCTGGCGGAGAGTTGGCGCAAACCGGGTCACAACTACGGCTTGGTCGTGGAGCTCAGTCTGCTGGGCTCCGAACCAGAGGAGCTTATCCCTTTTTTACCAGGCAACTCTCTCCCATTAGATGCGGCTCTAACTTTTCCTCTAATCGAGGCCTCTCTGGTGGTCGTGTCCTTGAACCCTCACCAGTGTCGCTCCCGGCAGAGGAGAAGCGCCGTCCACCTCCCCGTGACGCCTAGCAACGTGTGCAAGGCTCGCCGCCTCTACATCGACTTCAAAGACGTGGGCTGGCAGGACTGGATCATCGCGCCGCAGGGCTACATGGCCAACTACTGCCACGGCGAGTGTCCGTTTCCGCTCAGCGAGAGCTTGAACGGTACCAACCACGCCATCCTGCAGACCCTGGTCCACTCCCTGGACCCACAGGGGACGCCTCAGCCCTGCTGCGTCCCCATCCGTCTGTCCCCCATCTCCATGCTTTACTATGACAACAATGATAACGTGGTGCTTCGACATTACCAGGACATGGTGGTGGACGAGTGCGGCTGTCGGTGAGGCTGCTGGACATTTTCTTTTTTTACTCGTTACCAACAGTTTAAGTTTCATATATTCTTTTTCCCTATTGATACGTTTTCACTTTTTTATGTGATAACATTTTTTAAGGAATTGTAAAGAGATTGTTATTTGTATTTGACTACTGTGATCAAATGTTAGAAGGTATTTTCAATAAAGATAAGATTCAGATATATCTACTTTGGTTTTGTTTTCTTTTAACTAATTGGAACTTTCAAGTATCAAACAAAATTGATGTTGAAGATTTTAAACAGGAAAAAGATCCTATAAACTAAAATGCTTGTGAGCCTGCAGGGCTTTAAGTCGGACGTACACTGTATGACATATGTATATATTTTTTTGCCCTTTTCAGGCTGATTCTCCAGTTGTGTGAGGATTTTTTAATCTGGCCGGCTTTCAGGCTTGTCGTGCATCATGTAGTGTGCAGGGTGTAACGAGGGGCAAACAGCTCGGGAATCGTAAGAAAATCAAACATGTTTGAAATTCAGTCGGGAGTCGTAGGATCGCATCAGAGCATTGGGCCGCACAGTGTGAGAACATGCATTGTGAGCTGTGAAGTTTTAAATCCTGCAGTTTGAGCTGTAGCTGCGTGTAACAATTGAACATATCTCACAGTATAAAGCCAGGCTTTAGCCGTTCTAGGCTCTTTTGGGACCACCTGGATTAGCTGTTGTTTCTCTGTTGGAGTCATTTTGATAGAGCGGTGCCTCATAAAGGCTTCACATTTGTTAATGCATGACTGTGTGGTTCTGTTGTAAACATATAACGGCTGATTGACATAAGTCACTGTTGTTGATCTATTCCAGGGCATGATCTGGTTTAGACATCCATTAGCCTGCTTCCTGTTGTCAGTGAGGTTCTATTAAGGTGATTTTTTGATTCTAGTGGTCTAACAGGAATGAGATCTGAGTGTGGCGAGTTAAAGTGCAGTGGAAAAGTGTACAAAATCATACTGGAGCTCACAATTTAAACCCAGTAGGAAAAATTAAGGAATGTAAATTATATGACTATAGTGATACTTTGAGCTGATTGGGTCAGAATGATCAGGAAGACCATTTTGGACGGAATAAATGAGGGAAAAACCTCTCTATACTTGTTTAGACCTGGTCTATAAGAGCATACATTTCAATCCTAAACATAAAGTGTAAAACTGGAACCCTCACTGAAGCAGAAACCTCAGAGTCCTGACAGATGCTGGCCTTTCTGCCATTTAAAAGATAAAAAAAGAAACCAGCAGAACGGTGAGGATCAGAGACGGCAATCAGCAGCTCTTTCATCTTTTAAATGAAGAGTTAAACTCTCTTATCTCACCTTCCTGCGTGATAACACCCCACCCCCTCCATCACCAAACAGGACAAACCACTGGGGGGTTACCATGACAACCGCCACTCTCTCCAGCAACCAGGGGAGGCTGGCATGTTGTTTGTAGCTGCTTCACAGAGAGACTCGGCGGTGTGAAAAAGACCAGGTAGGGCGAATGTATCTCCTATAGTGGGATTTTTAAAAAGTGCTTTTCTCCTTTTCTGCCCAACGGAGACATATCACATCTATAAAACAAGAAAAGATGACCTGAGTAAATAAAAATGTAGACTTCAAGTTAGGTTAGATGTTCAATCAATCATGTATTAATAAGAAAATTACTCAAAGAATTTTGTGAGGCAGCAAGGAGTCAGAAGATTTTTGTAAAATCGAACAGATTAAGACTCCAGGATCTCAAATTTCAATTATGTGTTTTATTAGCCTGAAACCCTTTTCAGGGGTGGACTTGCTGAAGTGCCTCAGATTTTTTTGCTCTATAGTGTTTCTAAGGTTACAAGCTAAAGGTGAGGAATTCTTCAATTCAGTTTATTTATATAGCACCAATTCACAACACGTCATCCTAAAGCACTTTACAGTTCACCAGATCATACAGTCAAATTGATTCAGAGTTTTCTATAAAAAGGAAAACCAGTCGATTGCATCGACTCATTGATTCATTGACTCAAATGCAATGCCTCACACTAAGCATGCTTGTAGCGACAGTGGAGAGGAAAAACTCCCTTTTAACAAGAAGAAACCTCCAGCAGAACCAGGCTCAGTATGAGCGGCCATCTGCTGCGGCCGACTGTGGTTCAAGGAGACAGAATTAGAGATACAAAAGGCAGCTGTAAAAGGCGGCCCCGTCCAGGAAACACAGCCAGGCAGACGATTCAGGATTCTCAACTTAAAATCCTGAAAATCCTGAAGCTTTCAAGCAGCCCAAGGCAGTCTTTCTACCTTAAAATGTCTTTCATGGTACTTTTATAATTTTTTTTGGGTAAATGTACTCCTATTGATTAGAGGAGGTCTTCACTTCGGGATTGTCCCATAAAGAGTGGTTTGCATACAAAATGAAATTTTGTTGTTATGTAAATAAGATATATTCAACATGCATGACCATGTTGAGGTACATATTTTAGATAGTCATGTACATCCTCTAAATGAAGCATTTATCAGCCTTGTTGGTTTTATTCTATGCACCTTTGAAATATCCAATCACTTTCACAACCTTTAGATTTAATATTAAACAGAGGTTTCTTTACATTTGCTACCACACCGTAGATTCTCCAAACGGTCCTATTAAGCCGTAGAAGTTGTTTCTGCTCTTCTTCCAATAAATAACATAGATCTATAGCTGTGGGATTAAAGATTTGAATATCTTAATTTCAAAACAGCCTGATAAGCATTTATACTGGAAACACAGCAGGCTCTGTTGGAAGAAACTGTACCTGATTTATAGATTTCCGCTTAGAAAGTGTTACAATTATAAAGTGTATAGCGCATGCTTGGGTGGATGTCTATATCTTTTGCAGTATTGTGAGAGTAAAGGTATTTTAGTTGTTTTGTTTTTTTTATAAAGTGCCGAAGAAGTGTCCTTATGTCTCAGCTGCTAATAAAATCAATTTGATGAAATCTTCATTGAAACAAAGTCATTATGAAAATGTTTAATAATGGTTTCATTAAAAGAAGGCAAGCCAAAGAGTGGAGGGTAAGGTCAGGGAGACGCTGACATTTAGAGTAATCGAACCTCAGTAAGGAGCCTGTATTGGACTTTTACTGGTGTAATAAACTCCAGGCCCTTTGACATTGACTACTTTAATGACAGACTGTTGAGCTATTAAAGTGTTTGGACATTTTTATGGAAAAGACCTTACATTTGTTCTTGACCATAGAGCGTTTGGATTCAGGAGGCGGGATCAGAGCCCTGACACTAGAAACAGCAAGATCCCTTTATAGCCAGCTAGACAGTAAGGTGTTTTCTAGGCTGAGATTTTGGAGTGATATCTGATAATGAAAACTGCATGTCAGTTTGGAAAACATAAGCTTGTCCTTTCAAAAAGAAGGCTTACAAAGAGACAACATCTTAGAGCCCAATATATACTAAATTAAATGGACAATTATCAACATTTGAAGGCCATAACCTAAGGATAATCTAAAATATGAAGAATGTGGATAACATTTTTACAGAATAAATATGTGACTGGAAACTGTCAGGGTTTGGTTGAGGTTTTTTTCAGGATCCAAATGCAGAGGCGGTGAGGCAGAGGTGAGTTCTTGTAGTTTTAATGGAGTTCTCAACAGGTATCAGAGGCAGGAATCCAATACAAAAATGCAAAACCAACCATGGAGACATCAGTGAAAACATGCACGAGGAGCCGGGGAAAGACGAGGAACCAGCACTGAGGAACTGCACAGATAGAGTATTTATGGCTACGTTCACACTGCAGGCCTTGATGCTCAATTCCGATATTTTTTTGAAATCCGATTTTTTTATTGCGTTGCCTTTCATATTTCCAAATATTTGCAACTTGTATGTGATCTCCAGTTTGAACTGCAGTCATACAACGCAAGCGTCCTGCATGCGCAGTAGAGGACGCAATGATGTCACAGGCCAGCGTGCTCTGTGTTTGGGGAAGTGTAGTGCTGGTATGCATCTAGCGATCTTTTCCAACCATAAAAACTCATTCTTTTCAATATGTTTAAACATAAATACTGCTCTCCGCATCATCATCTGCCATGGTTGTTGTTTTTCTTGCTGCTTCCGCTTAGCAAGATGCAAAATAGTGACCTTTGTCGGGTATTAATGACGTTCAGGTCGGATGAATCCGACCTGGCCGTTCAGATTCGTATTGGATTCAGGACCACATAGCCAAGTGGCCTGGGTCGCTTTGGAAAAAATCGGATCTGTGTTGTTCAGACTGCCATGAAAAGATCAGATCCAGGTCGCATATGGGCCAAAAAATTTGATTTGGGTCACTTCAGGCTGCAGTATGAACATAGCCTATGAGAGACTGAACAATGACAGGCTTAATGAGCTGATTGGGAGCAGGTGTGAGCAGAGGCTACTAGACGGAGCTAGGGAAAAGGAGACCGACTCAAGAGGGCAACAGAGGGCAAGCAAGAAAAACCTAAGAACTCAAATATATCCAGAAAACACAACTAAATAGGAATTAAACCAATGAAACTAGAAAACAAAGAATAACATGGATCAAACTTAACAGAAGCAAGACCGTGACAGAAACGGCAACAAAAACCCATTTTTCGACCAATATCCTCCTCTTTTCACCACATTGATCTGCCTGCAACAAGGCAGATAACAGGCTGCTGAACAAGTTACTGGATTGTTTCAAGATCTGTTTCAGTATGTGCTTCTAACCACTTTCATGAGCTTCACATACCAATGGAACCACTGTCTTATTTTAATCACTTTATTGCTGTAGATAAAATGAGGTGTACAATGGCATTAAGTCGATATGAATGACTTATTATTTGAAGAGCATAGAAATGAACCAGCCACACGTCTTTGAAGATCAAATCCCTTTTATTCTAATTCCTTTTTAATTGTTTTATATATAATCAGACGAAGCAATTTGTTTTCAGTCGTATTGTAACAATATTGTTCCTTCATCCAGAGTAACTTTGCTGAAGAGACACAGAAGATGGATGAAAGTGAGAGTGAGCTTAGCAGCGGGGGTGGGGGGTGGGATTGGGCAGGAAA